CCCCAACCAGATGGATTGGCACAGTGGAGGCAGCGATAGACTCAAACATAGCAATGATTGTGCACAGGGCCAGGCAGGGTTTTGTTTTGTTACGCATAGGATCGCTGTGAGTTGGTACCGACTCAGTGGCACATAACAGGCATCTCAAAGAAAATAACTCAAGTGAAATTTACAGTTTATGTGTTTAAGAGATACGATGAAGGCCAAACTTCAAAAATTGTTTATCCCAAAGGGAGGGAGATATGATAACACATGAGTATTTACAGAAGCCACACAGCTTTAAAGTCTCTGGGAAGATGTACCTTTCACTACAGATTACAGTTAGAATGTCCTAAGGGAGACAATTTTCCTTTCTGGGCTTTCTAGATTTAAACAATTACTCCATTCCATTATAAGATTTGCTGAGAAAACAAGTTTCTACTCACTCTCACTCCTTCCTGTACTGCCTCAAGAAGAAAGAACTCTATTAAGTGGAACCGACTATAAATAGCATAGTTTCTGAAGCTACAATGGCAAAAGAAATCACAAAAGCAGCAACAAGAATCTGCTCACCTTTACAACAGAAGCCAGACAATTACCGCCAAGTGGCTAATGTGTCAGACTGCAAAGTTGTTTGAACTGCAAGGTCGGTGGTTCAAGCTTACCAGCTGTTCCTTGGAAACCCTACAGGGTCGCTATGGGTGAGAATCGACTCAATGGCACTTAACAACAATCAAAGTTTAAATGACGCTACTAATTTGGGAGTTGTGTTCAACATCTGAAAAAAGAACAATTCCCATAAAACTAGCCACTCTCTACTACCATTGAGTCAATTCTGACTCAAAGCAATCCTTTGTAAGGTTTCCAAGGCTGCCTATCAGTATGGGAGCAGAGAGCCTAATCTTTCTCCTGTGGAGTAGCTGGTGGGTTTGAACCGCCAACCTTGCAGTTAGCAGCCCAATGCCTAACCTACAGCACCACCAGCGCTCCTTCTAGACTCTCATTAAGTTAGCTCTGACTCATAGCGACCCTGTCTTGGGTTTCTGACAGCTGGTAGGTTTGAACCTCCGACCCTGTGGTTAGCAGTCAAGTGCTGATCCTACAGCACATTAGGACTGTCTGCTGTTGTTGTTATGTGCCGAGGAGTTGGTTCCAACTCATAGTGTACAGGGTTTCAGAGGCTGTAAATCTTTACGGGAGCAGAAAACCTCATCTTTCTCCCACAGAACAGCTGGTAGTTTCAAACTGCTGACCTTAAAGTTCACAGCCCAATTCGTAACCACTACGCTACCAGAGCTCCTTCCAGGACCATCTAGAACCTGTGAAATTAGTGGTGTCAAAAAGCACAAAAGAGCCTAAAGGCTTCCCTTACTATTTTCTGAACAGTTTAAATATATCTTAGCCCCACTCAGCTTTATTTTCCTCTTCATAAGTGAATGTTTCCATCTCCCTTATGAATTCCTATACTCAAATTTCCCACAAGATAAACAACAGTTTACTGCTGCTAATCAAAAGTCTGAACCTAACCAATGCTTCACGGAAGAAAAGCCTTGGCAAGCCGTTCCTGTAAAGATTACAGCCTTAAAACAAAACTCAAAAAAACTCTAAAAGACCAGACTTACTGGTCAGAGACTGGAAGAACCCTGAAACTATGGTTCATAGTCACCCTTCAGGTATGGAAATGAAGTCACCCCACAGCTCAATTTTCAGTCAAATAGTATGCCTACAGGGGAAAAGTAACACAAGAGAGGTACACACACCTTAGAATGATCACCAGTATTTGAAATCACAAGGGCAGCACTTACCCAGGGACAATATTCAGAAGGATCCAGGAAAGAAGGAAACACAGATACAGGAAACCAAGGAAGTGAAATAAAGGAGGTTACATTGTGGTGATTGCAATCAATCTCAGGAAACAAAATGTGTATGAACTGTTAAGTGGAAAACTGATTTGCTCTACAAACCTTTACCCAATTCACACAAAAAGTTTACAATCTTTCTACCCCACCTCTCTAAAAAGAAAGACTAAAGCCTAGGAACCCTTATGTGGCAGTTCTTGTCATATGGGGTTACTATGAGGCGTAATCAACTCAACAGCACTCAGCAAGAAAGTCATTATAAACACCCACAACCTATTTTTTAAAAGCCTTCAAAATACTTAAGATTACAGAAAAAGAAGTTGTTCAGAAAATTGTTCTTCAAGGAAATTACAGCTATCACTTTATTTTTGTGATAAACAATTCTGAGAAAATAGTATCTTAAAACTCATACATGTTGCCAAAACTATTTACAGTAGTTTTTCAGTAGTAACTCAGCAATGAAGAATAATGACAAAATGTTATTATGTCATACAGTGACATCAGTGCAATGACATAGCAGCTCCCCTACCCAACAACAAAAACAGTCAAATCACCAAAACATCTGTGAAAACTACTCAATGAAGAAATGCCCAAAGTTGTGAATATTCCATGTTGTTGTTGTTGTCAGGTGCCATCGAGTCGGAACCGACTCATAGCGACCCCATGCACAGCAGAACGAAACAATGTCCGATCCTGGGCCAACCTCACTACCGCTGCCATACCCGAGTCCATCAATGATGCCACCTGGCTGATCCATCTCATTGGGGTCTTCCTCTTTTTCTCTGACCCTCCACCCTACCCAGCATGACATCCCTCTCCAGCGATTGTTTCCTCCGGACTACATGTCCAAAGTAGGAGAGACGAAGTTTAGCCATCCTGGCCTCCAAGGAGCACTCTGGCTGCACTTCCTCCAAAACAGATTTATTGGTTCTTTTGGCAATCCATGGCACTTTCAGTACTCTCCTCCAACACCACAACTCAAAGGCATCAATTCTTCTACGATCCTCCTTATTCACTGTCCAGCTTTCGCATCCATATGAGGCTATTGAAAACACAATGGCCTGGGTCAGGCGCACCCTAGTCCTCAAGCTGACATCTCTACTCTTCAACACTTTAAAAAGTTCCTGTGCAGCAGATTTGCCCAGTGCAATATGTCGTCTGATCTCTTGACTGCTACTTCCGCGAGTGTTGATAGTTGATCCAAGAAGAATGAAGTCCTTGACAACTTTTCTCCATTGATAAGAATGTTGTTTATTGGTCCAGTGGTGAGGATTTTTGTTTTCTTGACATTTAGATGTAATCCATATAGAAGGCTGTGCTCTTTAATCTTCATAAGTAAATGTTTCAAGTCCTCTTCACTCTCAGCGATCAAGGTCGTATCATCTGCATATCGCAGGTTGTTAATGAGTCTTCCTCCAATCCTGATGCCACGTTTTTCTTCATAGAACCCAGCTTCTCGTATTATTTGCTCAGCATACAGGTTGAATAAGTATGGTGAAAGAATACAACCCTGTCTCACACCTTTCCCAATTTTAAAACATTCAGTGTTCCCATGTTCTGTTTGAACAACTGCTTCTTGATCTAGGTACAGATTTCTTAGAAGTACAATTAAGTGTTCTGGAATACTCATACTTCTCAATGTTGTCCATAGCTTGTCATGATCCACACAATCGAAAGCCTTTGCGTAGTCAATAAAGCACAGGTAAACATCCTTCTGATATTCTCTGCTTTCAGCCAAGATCCATCTGACATCAGCAATGATATCTCTCGTTCCACGGCCTCTTCTGAATCCAGCTTGAACCTCTGGAAGTTCTCTGTCAATGTATGATTGCAGCCGTTTCTGTATTACCTTTAGCAAAACTTTGCTCACTTGAGATATCAAAGAGATTGTCCGATGATTTCCGCATTCTGTTGGGTCACCTCTCTTTGGAATGGGCACAAACATTGATCTCTTCCAATCAGTCGGCCAGACAGTTGTCTTCCAAATTTCTTGGCAGAGATGAGTGAGTGCCTCCTGTGCTGCCTCACTTTCCTGAAAGATTTCAATTTTTATTCCATCAATTGCTGGTGCCTTGTTCTTTGCCACTTCTTTCAATGCACTTTGGACTTCCTCTTTGAGTATCATTGGCTCTTGTTCATATGGTATCTCTTGAAATGGTTGAATATTCCATAATATTAAAAAAAAAAATGAGTAAAAGTAAAGGTATTCACTTAATAAACTATTCAATCTCCTCTGGAGAGTTTGAGGAAAGGAACAATTAAGGCAATCACTTTGCTTCTTTAACCCTGACCTACAGTAGTATTACAGTAATAAACACACTTACACCAGAATAAACATGTATGTACACATTTACGCTTACATGTGTGTTTCACAAAACAATACTGTTTTTAATTATGTTTTCTGTTCTTTAATATTTCTTTCCTTTTCATTTTTTAATTCACTTCTCATGGCCATTAACACTGACATTTCTTGTTAAGGACTGCCACCCCATTGTCAGGAAAACACTGGTCTGAGGGCAATCCCATTTGGAATAGAGGGGGAGGTAGATTCAAACTGTGTCTCTAGGAGCCCTGGAATTCCTTGGCAATATCTCAGGAACCATCAAGAAAAGTGGGGGGAAGGAGAGGCTCAGCACACACAGGCCCAAGTCTGCTCCATGTCGACCAAAATTACTCAACAATTATCTTGAGATTTCACACGAGATTTTATTTAGAGGCAATTGAAAAAGGGGAATTCTCAGTTTAAAATAAAAAATTCAGCATCCCTTTGACCCAACAATAGTGGATTTGATTTTCCAACTGTGTGACTCTAGAAGTAAATTTTCACTCAAAGCTATAAAATAAACCACAAGTCTAAATCTCACTATAAATTCAAAATAATAGTATTCAATCACAAACACTTAATACTGACCATTCAAAGCTTTATAATCTGCAATCTTATTATCACTGTCTGAGTAAAAGTGCTCCAGTCCCCTCCCCCAACCTCACCTGTACAAAACAACCATCAAGGTTTCTCTCACACTAAAACAAAGAGAGAATGTTTTTAATAATAAAGCAACTTTATATTTTCTAACTTTGACATATTACCAGGTAAACAGACTAAGACACATGAGTTCAACTTTCTCTTTTTGGGTGCCAGAGGACACAGAACAAATCAGTACACTAAACCAAAAACTCAGCAGCTTTCGTATTCATGAAAACATGCACTTTCCCACTGGAATTACCTCCAGCCAAAATATACCGAGTTGGATGCATGGCATTGATGGAACACACAGAGGCAAGGCATTCGCCATCAAAAGAATGCAGCAATTTTCCTGTCTCGTGGAAGATTAGTACACGCCGTGGATGGGCCATACTGCCAACTATAACACAGTCTTCTTGTTTAGGGTCCCACACGGCTTGGAACCTGGTCAGCCAGCGCCCAGTAATGGTGTTATGCCTAGTGAAAAAACATAATTTTCTAAGGAAGTGTTAAATGACGCTAGGTAGCACTGCACAGGGGGTAACGATGATGGTGTTTCTAGATGCTAGTTTTCTTTACTAAGCTATCATTAACCTTCTCTCCTCCTCCCTAAAACTCAGGACAGAGACCGCGCTTTCCTCTTCTTGGAATCACCAGTGCTGAGCACAGTTGTTAGTGCTCAACAGATATTCACATTCACATGTTGAAATGGTACTTCTTTTTGCTAACTGTTTCCTAGTTCAATGAACAAAAAAAGTTTAATAAACTGTCCCATGGAAAATCCCTTAGCACATCCAAACATGAAGCCCTAGAAATAAATTTGTAATCAAGGTTAGTTATGGCTGTTGTAACAGGACCTGCTACTTCTCATATTGGTATTCCCCTAATAACTGAGTTCCAAAGCTATTTTATATTCCTTGCAAAGTTAAAATCCAAAAAGCATTTATTTAGAGCCTCTAACAGCAGGATTGATAGTTCAAACCCATCAGCTGCTCCTCGGAAACACTATACAGGGTCACTGAGTCGGAACCAACTCAATGGTACTTAACAACAGCTCTCTAGAGCAAAAAGAAAATTGCTATCCTTTTATTTGCAGTATCTTAATACCACTAACAAGTATGGTATGCTGTAGCAATCCACATTTCCCACTGCCTCTCAGATCGTTAATAAAAATTCATACTGACACCAGAATCATCACCTTAGATAATTTTTAAAATTAGAAACCGGAAGACTGGAATGAGTAATTTGAAAATGAAAAAAGGAAATGAAGGCAGAAAAACTTCAGCAAAAACACAGACTAATATATTTTAGGGAGTCCTGGTGTGGCACTATGGGATAAGCACTGGACTACAAGGTCAGCGGTTCAAACGCACCAGCTGCTCTTCAGAAACTCTATACAGGGTCACTGAGTTGGGGCCGACTCAATGGCACTTAACAACAATAATATATTGCAGACTATAAAACTCATGAAGCAACACTCAAGTATATTTCATGCCCTGATCCCAACTTCATGAATACTGACAATAAGGGAAATCCTTATTTTCTTCGTAATATGTCATACAATGAGAAGGCATTGAGTAAGTGTCTCCATTTGATGTAAAACATCAAAGTGCGTTTGATGTAAAACATTCAAAGCAGCATAGGCAAGAGATAAGAATGAGATAAGAAGATAACAGGAGTAATTCAGGACTAAATAAAGTCACGACCTTAACAAAAATAACATCTCAGCTGCATAGAACAGCTGCTGACAAAAAGAGATCAAACTCTCTTTATAGACAAAGGGAACCTGGGAGCAAAAACCCTTCTGGATAGGAACTAGCAAACTGGGACAATCAACACTGCAATACAAAAAGCAGGCCTAGTTCATCTATTTGACATCTGCATCCCAACAAGTAGCTCATCATAATCCAGGATCTTCATTATTTGGCATATGGAAACCTACCTGATCGTGGTAAGCAGAGGAATCTGAGAGGATATACAGCTGGTGTCAAAGATTCTGCAAAATAAATTATTAAAAAGTAAAGCAACACAATCTTTGTATTATATCCTCATAGTCTTCTGAAATAACCTCAGCGTATTTAACAAATTTCTCATTGGCTCATAGTATGAAATATGCCTTACTTTAAGTTATCCAGAATGAGGCGCTAACAAATCTCAGCTAATAATACATTTAACAAACAAAAAAAAGTCACAAAAAATATTATAAAGTTCAGTTTCCTAGTGTGGAAATACTGCAATATACTTTAAAACTATCACTTCAAACTTAAAACCAAAACCATTGCTGTTCAGTGATTACTGCCCTACCATCGAGTTTCCAAAGCTATACATCTTTATGGAAGCAGATTGTCACATGTTTCTCCCGTGGAGCAGCTAGTGGGTTCAAACCACCAACCTTTCATTTAGCAGTCAAGCATTTAACCACTGCACCACCCCAGGGTTCCTTTCAAATTTAAAAGGTGCATTATAAGTGATAATTTGGACCTTTAAACTATATTCAGATTCACAGTGATATGGGACATACATAAGGCATATAGTCTGAAAATGCATAAATATCTCAAATTGCATATATCAAGAGCAAGTTCCCCATGAGATTCATTAAAGTCCTGCCTGGATCATTTCCAAGTGCCAACGGGGCTAAGACTGGCCAGCAGCCAAGTTCTTGTGTCTGTGTATGGTTGGAGGGGTGGCGAAGGGTGCCAGTGGTAGAAATACAGAAACCTCTACGGGACACCCTGGCAGAAAAGAAGCTAACCACATCACCACAGCTGTTCTGGTGTAGTTTCTTGGCAATAGATCTTATTGTCTAATCAGATTACAAGAAAGCCAAATCACTAACAGTTGATGCAACAACAGTAAACTTAGCAGTGCAAATTAATAGAGTCAGGGCAAACAGGTAGCTCTTGAGACAAAGAACACACAGCATGAGTGGCAAGTAGATGCTGGGCTGCCCTGATGACTGACTCTCATGCAGAATTTATGCTCACAGAATGCTAGAATCTAACTGCAAAGGCATTAGATGACTGTGTGGATCATAAAAAATTATGGATAACATTGCAAAGAATGAGAATGCCATTTAATTGTGCTCCTGAGGAAGCTATACACAGACCAAGAGGCAGTCGTTCGAATAGAACAATAGGATATGGTATGGCTTAAAATCAGGAAAGATGTGCATCAGGGTTGTATCCTGTCACCATACTTATTCAATCTGTGTGGTGAACAAATAACACAACCTTGCTTGCTGAAAGCGAAGATATCTTGAAGTTCTGACAGACAATAAAAGACTACAGTCTTAAGTGTGGATTACACCTCACATAAAGAAAACAAAAAGCTTCACAACTGGACTAATATGCAACACCATGATAAATGGAGAAAAAAAATGAAAGCTGTCAAGGATTTCACTGTACTCGGATCCACAATCAACAACCATGGAAACAGAAGTCAAGAAATCAAATGACGTATTGCATTGGGCAAACCTTTAAAGTGTTAAAGAGCAAAGATGCGACTTTGAGGAATAAAGTGTACCTGACTATGGTATTTTCAACTGCCTCATATGCATGCAAAGCTGGACAACTGTCTTTGAATTATATATTGACTATCCCATGCGAAACAAACAAATCTGTCTTGGAGGAAGTACAAGAAAGCTCCTTAGGAGTGAGGGTGGCAAAACTTCATCTCACATACTCTCGACCAAGTTTTATGCTATCAGGAGGTATCAGTCCCTGGAGAATGACAACATGCTTGGTAAAGTAAAAAGTCAGCGAAAAGAGGAAAGCCCTCAATGAGACTGGATTGATACAATGGGTATAACAATGAGCTCAAACATGGCCACCACTCAGAGTACGGGTAGTGTTTCGCTCTGTTGTACATAGGGTCCCTATGAATTGGAACCAACTGGGACCTACCATATTCTGCAGACCATGCTCTTCCTGACAGCTGAACCTCAGGAGAAATCAGGTGCTACTCTCCTGCCTGAACTACAATATACACGCAACTGAAACTGAAGCTGCCATTCAGCACTGCACTGGTAAAGTAGGCCTCACTATCCCCAAATTAGGAGCTTCCCATGCTAACATTATCTCCCTTCTGAGACACCACACAATCTGGTTTGAGTGGGACTTCTGGGATTCTTCAGTGTTAAAGGAAAAGCCTGACATCAACTCCCAAGTGTAGTTATTGTTTTTCCTTACCAAATAATGTAGTTCCAAGAAATCTCTAAAACAAAACTGCTGAAAAGCCATTAAATCTCAGTCCTGGGCCTTTAGTAGCCTAATAACACTAGTGATTAAATATGTTGTTGTTAAGTACCATCAGGTCGGTTCTGATTCATGTTGACCCTGGATAGGGTTTCTGAGGATCGGCTAGTGGGTTTGAACCGTTGACCTTGTGTTCAAGCCAACCTTGTGGCCCAGTGCTTTATCCCACAATGCCACACCAGAACTCCAGTGATTACACAGGGAGCAATATACCAAGCTTCTGGTTTATTGATAAAATAGCTAATTCGACTCTTTAGATTCCTTCGGACATATTTCTGTCTTCCAAATTTACCTGAGATTACAATCAGCACAAGTGGTCACCATTCTGTTACCAGTTATAGGTGAAAAATAGGCAGAGGCAAGGGTCTTTGTATGTTCAGTGAAAGAAATCAATGGTCGGTTTCCCTTGGGAGTCAGTCTTCTTGCATCATAAATATGAACATTCCTGTAATGTAGGAATAATTAGCAATATTGCCATAGGACATACAGCTGCCCTCTAAAATAGGGCTGAACATAATTAGACAATCAAATACTACACTGGAGAACATTTAAGATAGAATTCTTCAGTCTTCTGTTATTAATTTTATGAACATTAGCATAGATAAAAAAATAGGAAATTAGAAAAATTCCAAAACCACATCAGATACACATATGGATAGAGACAGACAAGTCTCTCATTGGTTTTCCAGTCTCTCCAAGAAAAAAGTTAGCAGAGACCATGTAACTCTACATTTTTTTAAACTGGTTTTAATCTCCTTAAAAGATTGAAAAGTAAATGTAAATCATGCATCTGTTTCAATAATTCTATTTATTAAACCCACAAAAAACTCATTTTTATGAAAATATTATTTTTAAAAAACACTTTCCAGTGAATTGTTCAGCAACAGTGGTTTCTTCTACATCATCTTAAAGAAAAACTTATGAAGGATTTCTGGGGAGTAGAAAAAGGCTATTAAAAGTTGAAATCTTTAAAGAAAAGTCCAACTTCCAAAAGCAGAACTCATTTTGTGCAAAGAACATAAGACTACTGTCTAGTTGCTTGGAGTTTTTCCCCCTTTTTCCTTTTATATGAAGAAAAGCTTTATAAAAGGGTCACATTTAGTGGAGTAAATCTAAATAGTCTTATGCCTTTGGAGCAAAACTACTTACCAGTTTCAAACAAATTTAGCCTCTGATTGAAATATGGAAAAACAAAAACCTAAATGTAAAAAACGTGGAAATTCCCTAATATCAATGGCAAAAACAAAAAACAAAACAAAAAACAACCACTCTCAATCAGTATAGAAAGAAAAACCAGTTATCCTTTAAGTATCATGAGCATCATGAAAGTCAGATGTCTTTGACAACAAAACTAAAACATATATTCCTGGCATTTAAATGCTTAAATCATGAAAAGTTAAGACAAACATACCTCAATCCAGCAGTAACGAAATACTGTTTATGCATTGGGTGGGTATTAACAGTTCTTATTTTTTCCATAGAACACTTGGTAAATGTCTCATAAGAAGTTCCAGGTGTCCGTCTATCTACTATTGATATACTGCCATCCCAGTGTCCTACTACTAACGTGGAGGCATCTTCTGTCAAGAAGTCAAAAGAAGAAAAGGCACTGCTTTCATTTCTATACACCTAAGGATATAAGAAACAAACAACTTGATTATTAATTTATTCAAAATTTAAAAATGAGTTTATAATACTCTCAAAGAAAGCCAACGTACAAAAAACACTTTACCCAAATAATCTCATTTGTCCTCCTATCATCCCCATAGGAAGCATGTTAAAAACAAAGGCACTCATTAGCTGTGAGACTTGTCTACAAATCAATTGGCCCATGTCATTTAATTTGTAGGCAATGTCAGGGCTATGTCCTAAATGTCACCTATGCCAGGGCTACATTCTAAATTTCTTACATTTGTGTTCCAGAGCTACCTGAAAACTTGCCAGAAAATGAACTGAATCTGAATTCTACACACTTGAAATTTTATCTTAATATATATATATATACACCAAGTAACTTTGTCAACAGAGTCCACAATATATGACTCAGTGTTCGCATGGTGAAGTATGATACACAATTTGACAGTGAATCAGGTTATATCTATCAATATTTTTAATGCTTACATCATTTGAATTAAGAATAATTTCACTAAAGATATATGCAAGGGTGTCCACTGCAAGAATGCTGTGGTAGCAATAACAACCAACCTACATGCTCACCAGAAGAGACTGACATGACAGTACAACTCTACTCAGAAATACCATGCAAGGCCAAAAAGAATGAGGCAGATTTCTAGTAGTAACTGTCCAAGACATACTAGTAAGCTAAACAAAAGCAAAAGGGTATGTTTATAGTCTGAAACCATTAGTACAAAAATGGGAATAATCATCTGTATCTCAATGCTGTGTGTGTGTGTGTGTGTGTGTGTATATATAT